GATGATGATAACGATGATGATGATGTTGATGATGATGATGATGAAGACGACGATGACGATGATGGTCATGATGATGGTCATCATGGTGACGGCGATGACCGTGATGAAGATGTAGATGCTAGCGACGATGAAGATGCCGATGATGATACTGCTGGTGACGATGGCGACCATGATGTTGTTGATGATGATGATGATGATGATGAGGGTGATGATGATGATGATGGTGATGGTGGTGGTGATGATGATGATGATGACAGCGATGATTATGACGATGATAATGATGGTGCAGCTGATGATGATGATGATGATGATGGGGGCGGTGATGCTCATCACCCCTCTCCAACCCCAACTCAAAATCAAGAAAACCCTAAAACTAAACCCATTCAGCTTTAAGCCACAAAGCTGAAGGGGCCCAAGGTGGTGAGAATGTGACAGCTGGTGACAGTGCGTTCAAAATTCATGACGCTGCGCGAACAACTCACCCACGCATGGTGGGACAGGTTGCATGTCACGGTTCAGAGAAAAAAGGGGTTGGTGGCTCAAGGTTTGCATCGCCCAATCTATCGGGGTGAAGCCTATCTCATGAGACTTGCTGCCTCAACCTTGGCATTCCTAAATTATTGCGAGCCCGACAGTCCTAAATCCCTACTTGTACCAATTCCTGTCCGTGTTTATGGGGCTTAAGGTTTAAAGAGGCCTATGGTTTAGTTTAGGGTTTAATTTAATTATCCAATTAGTGAATCCCGTAGTTGCTCTCCTACAAGGTTCATGAGCTCTGTCGACGCCCAGAAGGAGCGACCGTGGCAATGACCCATAGACTCAAACCCCTCAAATAATGTTTTCGGGGAATCACGTTATAACATGATACCAAGGATCCCTCCATAACTTACGGTGCATTCAGAACCATATAGACCCCTATGCAGGCCGTTGAGGCCTTAATTTAATATAGAAGCCTACTACAGGAGCCCAAATAATTACCTATACTATAGTGGAGGTTCCTTATTATAACTATAGTATAATATACCCCCAAACCTTATTCTAATTATTAAGGCCTCTACAGTAAATAATTACCAATATTGCTTTTTACGAGTTTCTGTATTATCAAGTTATTGGTTTCGGCGGCTCTTGGTTACCCAAGCGGTAAAGGCTAAATCCCAAGCTTTTCCGCAGGAGGAGACCATGAGACAGACGCTCGAGCGCGTGGTCCGGCACCCAGCTTTCGGAAATCAAGAGGGGAGCTGCGCGAAGCTTACAAGCCGGTTGTCATCGGTTTCGGAGCCGTTTGACGTGCACCAGCAGCATCGAAAGTGCATCGGAGTGTGATTGAGCCATGAAGCCTTACGCGCTGCCCCTCCTCCCTAATGTTTAAACAGCTTAAGCCTTAGCCCTAAACCTATACCTTTGTCTCAAACCCAAATACCTACGTAGTAAAGATCCCTAAATTGTTCAAATCCCAACCCTAAGCCCTCAACCCTAAACCCTAAACCTGAACCCTCAACCTCCAAGTCCCAAACCTTCCACACAGAAATCGAACTCCAACTAGGCCATGGAAGCCCCGGACTTCGAAAATGAATCCTAGAGCCTCAAAAGCTCGCAAGCCTTAAAGTTCAGAGTTTAAGGGTTTAGGATGTAGGGCTTAGGGTTCAAAGTTTAGGGGTTTAGGATGTAGGGTTTAGGGTTCAGAGTTTAAGGGTTTAGGGCTTAGGGACAAGTCTAGCCCAAACTTGCTTGGATTGTGTCTCTTCATGTTTTCAAGCCTGTGTGGTCATAAGATGCTACAAATCGGCCCGAAAAGCATTTTACTCACCCTCAATACCTAGCCTAACGCCCCCCCCCCCCAGGTCCTCCAGGTCCACCTGAGCCTGCACTCCTGAACTACGGTTGATGGACAAAAGTCTGCATGACCCAAATATAGTATAGTACCATAAATCCCATGGTTTAGGTATATAAGGTCATGCAGGATTTTGTCCATCAGCAGTATGAAGCCTAAGCCCTAACGTGACTCTGACCAAGCCCTACACCCTGAAATGCGTAGTTCTCTAAATTAGAGTCCCTTTTCGAGGCCTGTTTATGAGGGTGCCGTACTAGATTGGGGACCTAAAACAGGGACCCTAATTTAGAGACCTACCCAAAATACGCTTAGGACAAGCACTTCCAAGAGATCTTCGCCGATCTCGCCGACGACCTTAGCTTCTCTGGGGTTGGGGTTGAGGGCACGGAGGGGCTCGGAGATCCCAATACCCTGTGACATCTTGTAACCATAATTAATGTAGGCGCCTTTATATGTAATTAGGGTTTTGGGGGTAGAATAGAGATAAATAAGAATAAGACTATAAGAATAATAAGAAGACAGAAAATAATAATAAAAAATAATAATAGTAATACTACTACTAATAATAACAATAATAATATAATAATAATAAGGACCCGGCAAGTATTTAGGCCCCTACATTACCCTATCATGGTCTGGGTTGGGGTCTACGATATGGCCTGGTGTAGGTCGGGGTGGGTTTTTGTTGACGGGACAGCGTTTAAGGTCTAAGGTTTAGGGTTTAGGGTTTAGGGTTTAGTGGTTTGGGTTTAGGGGTTTGGGTTTGTGATATGGCCTGGGGGGGTGTCCGGTGAGAAAATACCATGGATCGATCGACATCATCGGTGGAAGGAACGTGGGCACTGTGCTGTGTTTTCACGCTGGGCCAGACCGACCGCAGTTCTTCATTGCCCTGAGGGGGGGCATGCATGCATGCACGAAATTTTCTGCGGCGGCTTGCCGACCATCAACCCTAAACCCTAAACCCTAAACCCTAAACCCTAAACCCTAAACCCTAAACCCTAAACCCTAAACCCTAAACCCTAAACCCAATCCTCACAGGATCGCAGCCAGGTGCTCAACCCGGAGGGCTGTCCTGCAGCGGTGCCAGGGGAGGCAAGGATGACGTCGCATCCAACCCAGCTGTGGGTTGAGCTCTTAAGGGCTTAAGGGTGCAGGGTTTAGGAATCCGAAACCCGAAGTTTAAGGGTGGTAGGGTTCAGGCGCACAGGAACCCTTAAGTACTAGTTAAGAAACTCCTGATCCTGCACCTGCCATCCCGAAGGCCTTGAATCCCGGTTTAGGGTTTGGGGTTTAACCCTAAGGGTCCATGTACCCAGGAAGTTTATACTTTGGGTCCAAAGTACTTAAATAATAGGGTCTACTTTAAGGCCAAAGTAAAAGGCTGTTTGGGCACATGCACCCTTAGAGTAGGGTTCAAAGCATGTAATATAAAGGCCTAAATAAGTGCCAATACTTTTTTGGGGGGCTCCTTAGTATAATTCCACTATCATGGGCCCGAAAACCCTATTTTAATCATTAAGGCCCCTACAATAGAGCTGATTGTTTGACGCCCAAAAAACCCGGAGTCCTGCAGCCTAAACCACCCTCAGCGTCAGCCCTGCAAGCCTCAACCGTAAGCCCTCAACCCTCAAGGGTTTAGGGTTTAAGGTTTAGGGTTTAGTTTGTTTCCACGTAAAGAAAAACACCCTAAGCCCTAAACCCCAAGCCTTCAGCCGTAGATAGCAACACCCGCGCCGACCCCAACCTCAAAACCAGCAGCCCAAAAATTTCAAGCTCTAAAGCGAGAACCTTCCCCAACCCGAAACCCCTAAAATCCTAAAAGTGCTACAGCCCTAAGACCCGAGAACCTGAACCCTCCAAAATCCCGCAAGCCGACACGAACGACGAAGCCTCGAGTATTCATTTAAGGGTTCTATAAGGGTTCTTATAATCCCTAGAAGGGTTCCTTCAAGGGTTCTATAAGGGTTTGTATAATCAGGTTGCTGGCGGCGTGGGCAAGCTGCGGATGATGAACGCCAGCGACCGGGTTATCGATCCGGAGGCGCAATTGAAAGATGGTTTTGTCTTAGGGTTTAGGGACTCAGGGTGCAGGGATTAGGGCTTTGGGTTCAGCTATTAGCTGCCCTGTATGTTATCTAAAGTTCACAAGGGGTGTGGTTTCGGGGTTTTCGAGGCTTTTGAACGCAGGGTGGGCCTTTGTGCTGTCTGGGCGTTTCATGCGAATAGGCTTTTGGGATGCGGGGGGGGGGGGGGGGGTTGCGGCCTTTTCATATCACAAGGTCGGTTTTCGGATGATAAGTGTAGGTAAAGGTCGAGGGTTGCTAGGCTTTGAGGTTCAGAGTTTTGATGAATTGGTGCGTTTGGGGGCCATCGCGTTGTACAGTCTTCTTGTTTTGCATGGTGATACTAGTAGCAGTAGTATCAAAAGGATCAATAGTAGTAATAGTCGTTTTCGCTAATTGTAATAAGGAGCTAAAACCCAAGGAAGTGCATGCGAAGGACCTCTTAGCCCATGTGAGTTGGGAACTCCAATCCATAAGCCGTAGACGTGAAATCCCTCCAAACCCGCGACAGCAGATCCTTCCAGAAATGAAACGGCCTCTGCCCGAAGCCTTTAGACAGGAAACTCCTGCCAGACTGGGCGAGGACGGGGTTTCCGGGCTTGGGAAGAGAAGCCTTTCTTTTATATAATTTTTGGTGTCCTAAACTCGATACTTAAAGGATCATGGGACTT